CGTCATCTGCTAGGTTCCACTTCACAATGTTTCGAACGTGGGCACCATTTCCAAATGTAGCTACGACATAGATTATTAGCTGGGTCCTGCTGTTTGATCATGGAGCTGGTATTTCTCTGCCCAGAACATTGGTCGAGAAGGAGAAATTACCTTGTCCTCCGTTCTCCCACCAGGTGTAATCCCCACCATTAACCTCAACGTAGTCGTCTGGCTGCTGCCCATCATTGTTTCCAAAATGCACATAGTAAGCCAGTCCACTGGTCCGCTGGTCTCCTCGTGCACTATTCACCAAGTAGACACCATCCTGTGTATTGCGGACGATACCGTCCCTAGGATAACAACGCATGACGAAGGTCTTGTCGTGATTTGATAGAACGGTGTTCCACCCAACCGAGGATCCATCCAGTGTAAGCTCAGCCGGGTATGAGTACTGCATGATTGAAGTCCTGTCCCAACTTGTGTTCAAGGTGTTTGCCTGCGCTGCTCTGGCAAAAACATTGCCGTCGACCTTGGCCTTGTCCCAGCCATTGGTCCGAAGGTAATATGCGTACACAGCATCCTTGTTCCATGGAATATCGACCACGGGTGATGCTTGCTCATGGATACAGCCGATGGCATGACCAAACTCATGGATGACTGTTCGGCTGAATGTCTCATCTGTCGAATTGTCGTCAAACCAGCCAAAATTCATGGTAGGCTCACTCTGTGGAATTGTCTTTGCCCCAGTACCAATGTAGGACCAAGATCCAGCACCCGCGGTGAATGAAATACGAATATCAGAGTCCCCCGGAGCATCACGTTCCATGAATCTGAAAGTGAGGTTGGCGTAACGAGACCATTCAGTTGCGTACTGAATAACCTTGCTACGAACATAGTCACTCTGACTGCGAGCAGTGTTACCGAAATGGAACTTAATGTATGGATTAAACATACCCCCACATGTTGACAACAAGTTCAGAGCCATTTGGCCATAGCCTTCTGTTGTCTAGTGCAAGGCGGTCTTCCCCACTTGGATCTTCTGCCGACGGAGTCGCTATCATTTGTACACAGGATTGAAACTTGTCGAGGGGGTTGATAGTTGCCATTATGACTGCCTGCATCGAGTGTTACTGGGAGGTCTTCGGACTTGCGTAGAGCGAAGTAGAGATAATCCGAATCCGATGAACTGGACCTGAGGATATGAGTCCTTATTTATATTATGCGAAACTCATAATAACCAGGACCGCTCGAAGACATGCACTTACATGTCGTTGTTTGTTGCCTCCACCAGCCGATCCGCCTCTCACCGTGTCAAAATCAGGGAAATAGTACATCGACAGTACAAAATGTACCAAAAGTGGTGTTCAATCTTCTGCAAGTGGCGGGATTCCAGGACGTCGAATGATGGAACCAATGCCTAAGTCAGCCATAGTCTCGGTGGTACCGATCTGTCCTCACTCCAGAGGTGAGAATTGCTAGGTTGTCCTGTCAAGTCTATGCAGTAAGCGGCATTCTCAGCTACAGATTTGTCTGTTCAAAATACCCACCTGACTACTGAACATAGCGGGATGGAGCTGGACTGCTGGCGCTTACAACCTGCAGCGGCACCATGTTGAGTGGACCTCCCCGCGTTGCAACAAGTCACGACAGAAGCAGGAGCAGAAGGGAGAACTTCAAGATCGAAACAGACGGATCCTTACAGAGTGCATCGGAGTCGATCTTATTTAGCGTACGTCTTTAAATGCTAAAAACCGGGATTTCCTCGGTGAAGACAAATATCGAGAACTTGAATCCTCGACATTGACTCCCCGAATTCTGGGAAAAGGCCGGCACCCTTGATCGAAATGCGGTACAGACCGACAACTCAAGTCTGACACCCTTCGTTCCTGTTCCTGTGTGCCAAGCGACGGAAGATTTCAGCTTGCTGCAGGAGTGGTGCGATTGCCAGAGCCAGCCGGACTTGGCATTCCAGCAGGGGTGAGATCGAAAGCCACAAACAAAATTTCTGCTTCCAGAATAAGACGCATTAGGCTGCGTCTGGAAAATCAATACCGCATTCTTCAGAAACCCGCTCTCTTCGAGGAGTTTTCAGGAGGGGGCCAGGAGAATCATGGGTTGTAATGGCGGGGGAAGAACAAGGCCAGTCAAGGTACTTGCCTTAGAATGGGCATGATACTACCGAAAAAAAGAGAAATCAAGCAAGATACTGTATTGTTGGGAATTCAGGATTAAAAAGAGCACTTGAATTCAGAAACTTCAGGTCAAAGGCCAGATCTCCCTCTGGAGTACATCCAAGACTTATTTTTAAAGCTACCTAGAATCCAGACAAGATTTGTGATGGTGGCCTAGAAACACGCAACGGACAAGAACGAGAAGAGACATTTTCCGAAGAGCACTACCTCAGCATCTGATGACTTGTGCCTCTCGCCCTACTCCCAGTACTCGGTTCAGCAGATTTCCGCAGTACGTTTGAAGAGTCGCGTAAAGCGAGAGGGTAAGTGGAGGCACCGAATATCCATTGGTACCAGAACTGCCACTAGAGTAGCGAGACAAATGACCAAAACTGTGATCAAACAATTCAATATTGTTACCAAGGAGCTACGACTATAGGCCAAGATCATGCGTCAATGTAGGTGTCCTGCTCACCGGTACACTCCCTTGGTAAAGGCTACCCCGTTGGAAGTTGCAACATCCGGATCAGGGTAGCTACAGAGTCAATAAGGGTTAGCATTCATCCTTCAGGAAGAGAGCAGAGATGCAGGACTGTGCCAAGGAAGGGCATTATGGTCCGACTGCAGATGTATAACACTGCCAGGCTACCGGGGGAGAAAGACTCGAGAAAACTCACTACCAAGCTGCTACCGCTATGATAAAGTAGACAATCTATAATCTGTTAACGGAAGGTCATTGGTAGTTTGAAAATTGACCCACAACTAGCAAGCCACCCTCAAGAGCGTTTGATTCGCCGTCACGGAGGAAGTTTCCGACGACCGTGATAGACAAAACAAGTAAGACAATCATGAAAATCTCAAAATTGAGATCCATCGGTTTTCCAAGCACCCAGCCAACGACCACGACCAATGGGGCATTAAAGAGAGCAGTTTGGATAGAAGGTCCCAAGCAATGGTAGAGTGCAAAGTTCATTTGTCCGTCCCATGCCTCGTCGATTGCAGTCAGGTGCTCGGCGGCCTTTTCGACGAAGGGAAGAAGTATCAGACCAAGAAATTGGTCTGGGATGCCGGCCTCAACAATATCTTCTATTCGATTAACGAGGAAGACAGCTAATACGGTGACCATAACTATAGAGCCAGTGATAGCAATCATACATTCTGTCAGTGTAAACTTGGGCTTGGCCACTACGTTGAATTTAGCTCTGGCGACAGAAAAGACGTTGACACGCGTCTCGCTGGATGTAGAAGTGTATAGTCATTAAGCATGAGAGCCCTTGTAATACCGGAGTAGAAGATAGGGTGATACGTACAATCTGCATGGTGATCAAGATCCTCATGCTCATCTTGTTCTAATACTTCATCAAAAATGCTGTGATTCGTCCGTGCATTGTACCAGATATACCTTCCTGGGTCAGCTCTGTCAGGGAAACTGTCATCGGAGTGTTTACGCACATGCCAAATGCGATCATCAATAGAATGGAAGTAATCCGGCTTATTCCGAGGATGTCGTGCTCCAACTTCTTATCTGTGAACCCGTGATGCCGTGGGGGCTCTGTGGACTGCGGGATTGCAGAGCCTTTCAGCGCTGAATAAAACGCACTTGGAATAAGCAGTCCAAACCCCGCAACGAGCAACAGGCCATTTCCGACTTCACTCACAGCCGCATGGAAGGTCTGCACTTGCTGACGAATTCCGCCGACTGCAAAACAAAGGCCTAAGCATAGCAATAAGTTGGTGAGAATAGAGCCAAGAATAGCCGCCTGGATAATTGGGATGAGGTTTCCATGCTCAGCTGCATCTTCGTCGGACCCGGCTTTGTGCTTGATGATCAAAATCAAGAAGAGAACAATCTCGACTACTGAACCCTGATCACAAAATCAGCGTTGGACATGGAACAGTGGACCTGAAACGGTATCCTTATTTCCCCACCACTTACAAATGTAGTTTCAATGAGAATCCCAGAAACCTTGGGCATCTTCCGGGCAAATTCTTGACCGGCGAATCCTAGAAGATTCGCCGCGGGTATCATTCCAATGTAACTGATGACGAAGACCCAAATGTTGAGATGCGGGGTAGCGAAATTCATGATGATCGCCAGTAAGCAAAACGGCCAGAGAAAATTGACTGCCATTGACACTTGGTTTGAGCTTCGCCAGAGGACGCTGAAGAAGTGCCCATGATTGAAGCCCCGCCTGCCGCTCTCACCGTCGGGATGAATGGTTTGAGGGAGGAAGCTGGGGAGCAGTGCATGTGTTTCTGATGGTGATCCAGGATCCTCGCGATTGCGAGCATGGTGGTGGTCTGAAGGGCTCATGCTGGACTGGTGCTATGTGCAATGCAAGTGCTGGGAACGTAAGAGGGAGAGAATTCAACAGCGACGGCTCTTAGTAGAGGAGAAAATAACTCAATTGAACTTCATCGTTCTCAGGTGGTGAAAGAAGAAGAAAGTCTAAAGTCACACCTTGCTTTAAGCGTGGTCTTGGGGGCCAATGAAATCATGGAGTGTTTCATTTGATGGCTTGGCTGGCTGGCTTGACCTGGAATATCCATCTGCATCATGGAAGTGTAACGCGACAAAGCACAATGGGACGTAGATACTGGGCAGGGATAATGAAGGAGATAGAGACAAAGGGTAACGAATGAGAGGAATTCCAACAAAGCAGCCTCCAGTAAAGAATACAAAGGTTTTGGTTTTGGACAAAGAGCCGCTGAACAAAGGCGCTTCAGTGACGCTAGACTAGAAGAAGTAAGAGTGGGACTTTTTTTTTTGGAAAATTGGGCCGCTTTGTAACTCAAACATATTTTGAAATAAGAAAATTCCACGGACTCAGCATCTTTCTGAAACTTCTTGGTCGCCTGGTGTAGTGGTTATCACGTCTGCTTTACACGCTTCTTCAGCTCAATATCGCAGCAGGTCGCCGGTTCGATCCCGGCGGTGACCTTTTTGTATTTTTGAAAATTCTTGCTTCTTTGTCCCTTTCACAGGGGCAATTGACTTATTCGGGACGGGAGAGGATCTTTTTCCGTGTTATGGCGGCCGAGTCCCGACCGAGGCAGACGCAAGAACCCCGCATTTGGCGTGCCTTAACCGAGTCGTCCTCCTCTTACTCAATCCAAGCAAATCATTTTAAGTTCTCTTTTCAGTTTCAAAGGACTATGCTTAGAACATTATTAGTATACTAGTTTTTGCCTCACCTTGATCTACGTACAATTCCAACTTGCCCAAATACCTCTCTGAATACAAGACAATGCCTCCGAATCCCTCGCATGGTGCTATGAACTTCTCCCTCCCGGAAGACCTCCAAAACTACCTTACTGAAATCGACAAGTTTATTGCCACCAAGATTGCCCCTTTGCAGGCATCCAATGATAATGAACGCTTCTTTGATCATCGTCGAGAACATGCTCGGACGAATTGGGACAACCAAGGCTTGCCCCGCGATGAATGGGAGGATCTTCTAGCAGAAGCACGCAGACTAGCTGATGAAGCGGGCTTCTACCGATTCTGTTTGCCTGAGGAGTTCGGTGGTAAAAATGGCGGAAATCTTTGGATGGCTGCCATAAGGATGCATTTGGCGAAGAAGGGACTCGGACTGTTCAATGATCTGCAGAACGAGCATAGTATCGTTGGAAACTTTCCTGATGTGCTTATGGTGAAGGAATTTGGAACTCAAGGTTTGACTTCGAGCTGTAAATCGCGCCACATGCTTACTCCGGCATAGCACAGAAGGAAAAGTTCATCACTGGAAGGTTGGAAGGTAAGGTTGGCTTTGCATTTGGTCTGACAGAGCCGGACCATGGAAGTGATGCAACACACATGTCTACACGAGCCGAAAGGTTCAGAAAGGACGGCGTTGATGGGTGGAAAATCAATGGAAGGAAGATGTGGATCAGTGGAATCCATAAAGCCACCCATTGTATCACGTTTGTGAGGACTCATGGGAAAGCCGGAGATGCGCTTGGAATTACTGCTTTGATTGTGCCCAAGGCCACTCCAGGATTCGAAATTGAATCCTATGAGTGGACGTTCAATATGCCGACGGATCATGCCAGTAAGTGCGAAGCCAACACCGCCTTCCAGACGGGAGATAACAAAACATGTAGCTTTGAAATTGACGGACGTTTTCGTACCCGATTCTGCAATTCTCGGCAAGGTTGGACATGGTCTTCCAATTGCTCAGACTTTTGTCCATGAGAATCGATTGCGTCAAGCAGCTAGCTCTCTTGGCGCGGCCGAATACTGCATAGAAGAAAGCATTAAGTATGCAAGGAAGAGGAAACCTTTCGGGAAGGAGCTATCTACTAATCAAAGCATTCAATTTCCATTGGTCGAGCTATCAACGCAGGCTGCGATGCTGAACTTGCTGATTCTGAAGACAGCGACGGAGATGGATGGCATGACGCAAAAGGAGATTGAGCGAGACTTGGGCGATAGGGTATCAATGTGCAATGTAAGAGAGGCCTGCATACGAATGATTCCTACTGACTGATGACAGTACTGGGGCAATCGTCTTTGTACACAATCAGCCGATCAAGCAATGCAGATTCATGGTGAGTAAGATCGCACTACTGACGATCGTGTACTGACTTCCTAGGTGGGATCGGATATTCCAGGCACAAGGCGTACGTTCAAAACTCCGTTATACTGTGTATGCATGGTACTAACACGAACAAAGATTCGAGCACATATACCGCCATCACCGTGAGTCTGACATCTCTCCCATCTGAGGCTACTCACGCTAAATTCTCCAGGTCGGTACCGAATCACCGAAGGCAGTGAAGAAATTCAGATGAGGAAGGTAGCAGCATACCTGTTTGGATATGTGGGACGTAGAAAGGCGGAGCTGTCGAAATTGTGAAATAGTGAGCCCTGAAGACGTGGTGCACTCCATCGTGTTGTATTCAGGCATCGCCTGTGAATGGAGACGGAGAAGGCATCTGAAAGATGTCGAGACAGCACAAACAAGATAGGGAGCGAGAACCTCGCATGAGGGGATTGTGCCTGCACTGACCTCAGACCAAGACATACTTTAGACAAGCATCGAAAATGGTTGCACAGGAAATCATTGAATTCAGTATATTCGAACGTTAACATCGATACGGGTGTCAATGTTACTTCTTAAGATCTCAGCCGTGACTAAGCCGGACCGCCTTGCGTGACACTCATGATGGACTTCAACATAATTGCTTGTCATGCCCGATACAGCTCCTCCTCAATCTCCGCCAATTGCGAATTGGTAGCCTTCTTTGGAGCCAGTCCATAGAGCTCCTGGAAGCTCATGACCATCGGACGCCATTTATCTGCATTGATTCGATTGGGATGCCCAGGCAACCTCAAGCTGTCGTCAACATGAACCCTCAATATCTTTAGCTCAAGTGCAACGGAGCTGCCTGCACGGTCAGGCACATCCTTCGACATCTCGTGGATATCCACGAGCTCCGCTTCCATTTGTACTGGCGATTCCTTGATACATGGTGGGTTGACAAGATCTGAAGGAACCGGGGTCAGGCTGGAGATGCCAAACTTGTCTTTGACATGGCGGTACCCAAGGGTAATTTTGCGAGCGGGGACTTCTTTCGTCCCGGTCGTACGAGCTAGGGAATTGATTTGGTCACCCATTGTGTCCGATGCGAGATTCAGGACACATTGTTTGGTGCGCCGGAGGTTAATGGTGGTCTGGGAGTAGGAGGCGAGACCTAGCATACATCGATGGCCAAGCCACCAAGCTGAAGACATAGGTGCAATGTTTGGACTTCCATCTTCGTTCTCGGTCGTAATAAGCACGACGATGCTACCAGCATACAAGATGGCTGGTGATATTTCGGTACGCATGGGGAGGAGCTGGTGTACTGTCGGTGGGGTCTCTGGTGAAGTAGAAGATTCGACAGACAATTGTGTACTTGTACTTGTAAACGTGAAGAGAATCCCTCTGAGCTCGCAATCTTTGAACTTATATAGGGACTGCGATGTCAGGGCCGAGCGTTTTCTCGATGCATACACGTTGGGTGGACCACTGTGCTCAAATTGACCAGCAGTATTCGCGATGCTGAATGGGGTATATGAGCTACGCTCAGCAAGCCAGGGGTCAGCGACAGTCTATCGTTACGAGCTCCATCATTCAGACCAGAGCGTCGGACATGATTGACCACAATGAAAGCAATCAATGTACTAAAGTGCACGTCTGAGAAATGTTGGGACTTAGTACCAGTAAGCCGATGATTTTGGCTGGGACTCTGGTCTGATTGGCTACTTCAAAAGCATTGCCGCCAGGGAAACTTCCCAGCGGCTGAAAAAACACCACCTCAGAGATAGATCAAATACCACACCTAAATATCTATGCTCCAGCCAGTGAACACAAAGGTAGCCAGAAGGACGAAAATAAAGCAGGAGAAGATCAAGCTCCAGCGTTGAGCGACAAGAACATTTATTCTTTGATGTATTGCTAGCGATTTGTTAGACATGTATGTATTTGCCTAGGTGTAATTTCTCTATTCCCATTCATGCTCCTGAGTTCCCTGCAGTCGCTTCGGATTTTGAGTCTTTCTGAGGCTTCGTGTCCATTTGTTGCCACTGGTGCCAACTATTCGGAGCTGTGTTCAGTATTAGCATCGTATTCCTTTCGAGAGGCAAAAGGATATTACCCTGTAGGATATATCTATTCATAGCTTCCCGAAAGCGACTTTTGTACTCCTAGATTTGTTCAATGACGAAGATCTAGATAATTGGTTTGGATTACCATACCTTTGGCGACGTGACGGTTGGACGGTTACGACCACCACCTGCAAAGCCGCGATCTTTGATCCATGATTCTAGTTTTTTGTCCTTTTCAAAGATTAGATGACGCCGACTGCTAAGTCACATCTGCACGTACCCAAGTGTAGGTTCTCACGACATCAATGATCCCAACAACGAGCTCCTTCCTTGCCTGTGACGTGTCAGCTTATGAGCATTAGTCGAGGAGGGTACGAACCTCGTCGACCGCGACCATTAGTGAATAATCCATAACATCGTTTCTCTGTAAGAACAAAGTATCATTGAAGATAGCGGCACGAAGAAGCTTTTTAGAATGCTACCCCAAGTTAGCAGTTGCATTGAAGAGAAACATAGGTAGATAACGAACTTCTCGCGCAAAAAGTGGCGACTCATAGATGAACTCAACCATATTCTCATCCAGAAGTACTTCATTTTGCTCGCCGGTTGACTGAATTTTGCGGTTTCGCATCGATCCCTTGAGGTCAAAAATACGGGTTGGTGACCGATCGTAGAACAGATTCTCCATGACCAGAACATCCCATTTGATCTCCGTACCAGTGATGGGATTCTTGATTATGATCTGATAAAATCCGAGCATCTTTGCAATGACCGTAGGAAGATCGTGGAAGAGGGCCTCCGCCATGATATTGAAGTACGCTGGTGCAAATTTGAGGAAGGCCGCTGTTTCAATGGGCGAAAGCGATTTCAGGACGAGTCTGTCATCCAGGGTCTTTAAGAAGACGGATTTAGTCTTTCCACCCTTGGAATCCCACTTCAGGCATCGTGAAAGCGACTCGACAATTCTGTCTGAGACGCCACATTTTCGGCGAACTGCATCGAACTGCTCAGCAAAGAAGATCTTACATTGCATTTTGGCGGATCCATCGGTGAAAGAATATGCCAGATGAGTGCCGGTGGCTCGAAGCAACGAAGTTTCGACCTCGGCCTGGTCGAGCCCATCCTCACATATATCCGGTGTGCCGTCCTGTTCCGGCGTAATTCGATCGTCCATTTTCGTGTTGGCCTCGCCTTGACAACGAATATTTGCAAGTTTGTCCTTATAATCTTGGGTTTGGAGGGCGAATGCAATCAAAGAGCTAGGCTCGTCTTCGCGCACGATGACATCCACGTCAGCAAAGATGTGGTCACCAGCGTTAAGGGGATAATCGAGAGGAGTCCATCCACTTG